AAAAAAAAAAAAAAAAAAAAATTACTAGTAGTGATAATGTTGCAAAAAGGAAAAATAACTGGTAGTTATTAAATAGTACTCTAGTGCCACAGCTTCACATTCGTTATTTACTCTGCATAACACAAAAGGCATTCTTCTTGTTTTTTTTAGTCTCACTTTATCACCCCCAGTAGAGTACCATGGTGTTATAGCTCACAGCAACCTCCAGCTCTTGGGCTTAGGTGATTGTCTTGCCTCAGTCTCCCAAGGAGCTAGGATTACAGGCGACCACCAGAACACCAGGCCATTTTTTTGCAGTTTGGCCGGGGGAAGGTTCGAACCTGCCACCCTTGGTATATGGGACTGGTGCCCTACTCACTAAGCCACAGGCACCACCCAAAAGACATTTTTTTTTTTTGAGACAGAGCTTCAAGCTGTCGCCCTGGGTAGAGTGCTGTGACATCACAGCTCACAGCAACCTCCAACTCCTAGGTCCAAGTGATTCTCCTGCCTCCGCCTCCCAAGTAGCTGGGAGTACAGGCACCTGCTACAACGCCTGACTATTTTTTTGGCTGCACCCATCAATTGTTGTTTGGCCAGCCCAGGCTGAATACGAACTTGCCAGCTCAGGTGTATGTGGCTGGCGCTTTCCTTGAGCCACAGCACTGAGCCTTTTTTTCTTTTTAGTTTTTCTTTTGGCCAGTGCTCGGTTTGAACCCGCCACCTCCGGCATGTGGAGCCAGCACCCTACTCGTTTGAGCCACAGGGGCTACCCGGCATTCTTTTTTATATTATATAAACCAAGGTATGCAGAAGTTAAGTTACTTGTGCAAGAGCCCACATCCAATCGGGGACAGACTGAATTTTTGGTCTCTACTCCATCTGACTTCAAACTTCAGGCCTGTTTCATTATTAACAGATTACCTTATATTCTTGGATATAGTCTTAAAACACAGTATACACAAATATGTAGAAAGTGATTTCTAAACTTAGAAATGAATTATTAAAATTTAAAGAGTAGTAACTTTTAAAAACTTAAAAGCAGGGCAGTGCCTGTGGCTCAGTGGGTAGGGCATTGGACCCATACCCCAAGGGTGGCAGGTTTGAACCCAGCTCCAGCCAAACTGCAACAAAAAATAGCTGGGCATGGTGGTGGGCGCCTAGAGTCCCAGCTACTTGAGAGGCTGAGGCAAGAGAATCGCCTAGGCCCAGGAGTTAGAGACTGCTGTGAGCTGTGAGGCCACGGTACTCTACCAAGGGTGATAAAGTGAGACTGTCTCTAAAAAAAAGAAAGAAAAAAACCAAAAAACCTAAAAGCAGTTTTATACTCAACCATTCTACCAACATTCTACTTACTTGTCATCAATGCTGTTCTGGTAATAAATATGCAGAAGTTTGTCTTTTATCCAGCTGACTTTCTCTGCAGCTTCCTTTCCTGCTTCACCATGAAGACAGTATTTCTTATAAAGCTGAGCAAGACCCATCATAGCTTCTTTTCTTACCCGCCACTAAAAAATATAAAATTTATTATCAGATGAGCATAATACAGAACTTTATACTAATTTGTGAATTCTCAAGCCTCCACTAGGTTGGTTTTATGTGTGTATATAAAATTGGCAGATTAATATGGGGAAAGGGGAGAGGGAAGGGAGGGGAGTGGGGAGGATGGGTGGGATCACGCCTATGATCCATCTTATAAGGGTACATGTGACTCTTTCTAATTGTAGAATATAAATGTCTTAACACAATAACTAAGAAAATGACATGAAGGCTATGTTAACTAGTTTGATGAAAATATTTCAAATTGTATATAAAAACAGTATACTGTATCCCATGATAGTATTAATGTACACAGCTATGATTTCATAAAAAAAAAAAAAGTGGAAAAAAACAAAATTGGCAGATTTTTTTTCGTAAGAAGCATTACAAAATGTTGCTTTACCAACATTTTAAAATCTGTGCCTATTTAGAAACCAAACTATAGAAATTTTCCAATGCAAATATTACTAAATGATCTACCAACTTTTCATTTTCCTCAAGTCCAGCAGTAAATCTCAAAGAATATTTCTTTTAATTATCTCTTTAAAAAGTGGCGGATTTTTTAGAAGTAATAATTAATAAGTAACAACTAAGAAAATGACATGAAGAGTATGTTAACTAGTTTGATGAAAATATTTCAAATTGTATATAAAATTTTTATAGATTTTTAGAAGTAACAACTAAGAAAATGACACGAAGGCTATGTTAACTAGTTTGATAAAAATATTTCAAATTGTATATAAAAACAGCACACTGTACTCCATGGTAGTATTAATATACACAGCTATGATTTAGTAAAAAAAAAAAATTGACAGTTTTTTTTCCATAAGAAGCATTCAAAGCTTCCATAAGAAGCATTAAAAAATGTTGCTTTACCAACATTTTAAAATCTGTGCCTGTTTAGAAACCAAACTAAAGAAATTTTCCAAAGCAAATATTACTAAATGATCTACCAACTTTTCATTTTCCTCAAGTCCAGCAGTAATAAATCTCAAAGAATATTTCCTTTAATTATCTCTTTAAAAAGTGGCTAATTTTTAGAAGTAATTAAAAGGTAAACGACAAAAGTATATAACTCTGCAAACAAAGACCTATCATCTGAAATATTTTACATTCTAGTTGTTAGCCATTTGGGTGTTAAGTCAAAAGAAAAAGTTCACTATCAAGATTTCTGGAATTGGCTCAGCACCTGTGGCTCAAGTGGCTATGGCACCAGCCACATACACCTAAGGTGGTGGGTTTGAATCCAGTTCGGGC